GCTGTTCTCATTCTAACGATTTTATTTCTCTTCAATTGAGATCCACGTTTCATTCGGACTAGACAAAATGAATCACTGAAATGGAGGCAGGGTGGGTGGGCGGGGTGAATTATATGTTCTTTAGTAAAGTGAGAATGGGAAATAGACGTTAATCGTATTTTTTTGTTATACTACTTCTTTGCTATATATGCATATTTATTTCCTATTTTTGAATGAAAAAATGAGAGCTATGCCCACTCGCCCTTTATTTTCTTAGGGGGGTATGTAATTTGCCACAATCAATCTTATCTTAGCAAGTACTACACTGCACCAATCCAAGTTGATACACGTGTCCTTGCAAAAATGTTGATGTGGTCATCACAAAATTGTGTAAAGTAAAAATTCAACTCGAAAATGATGGATATGTTTCATTATACTTTCGTTGCGAGGGAAGTTCTGTCGAAATAACTTTCGACCAATTTTTCACTGTTGAGAAACGTCATTTAAATGCATAGGGTTATTAAGTTATTTCTTTAACTCTGAAGTTTCATATTTTAAAAAATTTAGTTTAATTTTTTTAACCATTTTTTTCGAGTTTTTCACTTCCATCTTAACAACGAATCATCGAATTTATGCATCATTTTTTGATCACCCCATATTTTAGGAATATCGTGTAGAAGGTAAAACGCTAAATAGAATTTATTTAATCATCTCCACCAACAATACCATGACATCATTTCAAAATTTTGCATAATAAATGTTATTTCACGGGTCAATTTCGACTTGATTTAGGGACGTCGCAAAACGACGTTGCAATGGTTATATCGCAATAACCTAATCGATTGTAACATTGTAAGAGTTTTGCGACATCACTACAGCAACGTCCTTTTAAGTAGATGTCGATCAATCAACTTGAAATTGGTTAGGAAGTTATTTAAGTTTTATAAAATGAAACTATTCCTAACTTGTGGTTTATGAATCCGTCTTAATTTTCACAACAGACATTAAGATTTTTGAAAAGGAATCAAAAATGCATAACATTTTTCAATATAACTTTGAAACTGTAAAATCAAATACTCTCGATTCTTGCAAACGTTTTAAGTTTTTTATGGGTAAGCATGCTAAATCGTTAATCAAAATTCATCAGTTTGTCTCCCTCCAACAAACTATAAGGTTATATCAAACGTAATATATAAAATGTACAATATATTTGTGGTTTATCAATATATTCACATTTTTTAGAATTACTTATAGGTATAGGGGTTGACTCAAAAATATTTCCCCAAAATTTAGGTACACAGTACTATCATTATTATTATTATACTGCATCGACCCAAGTTGACATACTCGCTAAAATACTGATGACGTGATCACATTGTAATGAAAAAACTATATTTGAACTTACATGGGGTTTTCTAATTTTTTGATAAAGGTGGATATGGTGTACCGTATTTCAGGGGCGGGGGAAGTTCTGTCTAAAAAACCTTTGAAAATTAATGTTTCAACAGTATTTCTTTTCCTTCAAAGACGAAATGCTTAAGTTTTGTCTTAATAAACCAAAAGTTCTTTTTAGTTCCTGAACGTAAGCTAATATTGAAGTGTAGTAATCGAGTCCATCGAGTGACTTGCCTTTTTCATATTTTCTCGACGTTTCATGACCCCTGGAGTACGAAAAATTGGTCTCCCATTACCGTCTGTTTGTCGTCTGTCTGTCTGTCTGTCGTCTGTGTCAATTTTTATTAGGCAGATAATAATCTACGAAACTATTGGACTGATTTTTGTCAAATTTTGTACGTATATTAGGAATATCATGTAAATGCTAAAACGGTAATCAAAATTTAGCTAATCGTTCTCACCAACAATTTAATGACACTATCCCACAGGATTATAGTTTCAAATGGTTTAAATGTTATACAATAATATACTTCTATACTAGGGTGATTAAAAAAAAAAATATATTTTTTTTTTCGTGCAAAGAGGTTCAAAAGTTTCTTTTCAACGTAAAAAAATACCAGTTAAAATTTGAGCTCTTAATATTAATATTAAGACCGTCCGCATCGCGTTTTTCTATTTCCCATAAGAATAACATGGGAAAATTTTTGTTTGCACCTTCTGATTTTTATTGCTAGCCCGTCGTGTGTCGTGAAAAAAATTCAATCACATATTTTTATAGAGAATTGAACGCTCTACAAAAAGTGTCTCCTATGATTGTGCGAGAAACCTCATAGTTGAAGAGTTATTTTAGGCTAAAGTTAAATTTATCCAAATTTTGACGTTTTTGATGCATTACAATAAATTTGATGGTCTTATTGGAATAAATCACCACAAAAATTTATACACATTTTAAATTTAGTTTTTTAAACAGTAATTGTTTATAATTTTATGCTATAATAAGGCCAGTAAAACTCTTTCCGAACATTTTCAGCATCAGTGGGTTAAAAAATCATAGTCAGGTTTCTCGCAAAATCATAGGAGATACTTTTTGTAGAGCGTTCAATTCTCTATAAAAATATGTGATTGAATTTTTTTCACGACACACGACGGGCTAGCAATAAAAATCAGAAGGTGCAAACAAAAATTTTCCCATGTTATACTTATGGGAAATAGAAAAACGCGATGCGGACGGTCTTAATATTAATATTAAGAGCTCAACTTTTAACTGGTATTTTTTTACGTTGAAAAGAAACTTTTGAACCTCTTTGACACGAAAAAAAAAATTATTTTTTTTTTTGAATCACCCTATTCTATACTTGTGTCGTACGAAACCGCTTTGAGTTTTTTCCCTAAACGTCCAATTTTGCAAAAACAAAATAGAAAATGTTACTTATAAATATATGGTTATAAATATAACGCTTTCCCGCTAATATGGTGGTGATGCGCTGTGGCTAGTATTGTCGATGTTGATGACGTGTTCACAAATTTTTTGTTATGCAAAAACTCACTTGAAACCCCCACATAGCATGCTACTTTGTTGCATGTGGCTTGGTATCTGACCGTGCTAATAGTCGAATTCTTTGGATGTATAAACATAAACAGTCGAAGTTAAGCATGTTATTATTACTCAAAGGTCTTTTTTCCCTGTTGGTTATCTACTATAAATATATTTTACATTGTCCGCATTTGTCCCTACTTTATAGAGGTTATCACAATACAAAAATCGTAAAATCAAATAATTTTTGGAAAAAGTGGGATTTGTTGGACTCTACTTCAGGCGCGATGGAAATTCTGTTGAAATATACTTCGGTCAATTCTTGTCATTAGATTTTTCTGTCGGCACTATTGAATAAACTTTGTTTTGATAACTTAATTAAGTCTTCCACAAAAATCAATGTTTGTTTTCATGTGGTCAAGAAAAATTGTAATCGAATTATACTCGTCGGTGCATTTGTGGACTCATCCTTAATTGAGATCATAAATTAAATTTAAAAAAATGATAATTGTTCTCAACTCGATTTATTTTAGACACAGTTTTTACTTCTAACGACGAAAAAAAAATACTTAACAGCGAAAAAAATGACAATATTTAAGAGCTTTAACACTGCCAAGAAAATTTCAATACAGTTAATTTTAATATTACGTAAAAATCCTGGTCCTCGAGGAGTAACAATATCACGTTTATTGTCCTACAAACACCGCAAAAGCACAAAAAATTCTGTCCTGTTGGTCCACCACCTGAACATTATCTAGACAGATGATAATTTCGCACAAATCAATTAGATATTACCAACGTGGTTGTATGTTTTCGTGGGATATTGGGTCAGTTGAGTAAAAAGGACTGTGTGGGCTACTTGTTAAAGTTTCGCTCTACTTTACTGGAGCTTCATCAGGACAATGCATAAATTATAACACTATTGATGGCGGTCACAATCGATGGATTTGAACTTTAATGATGACACCACACATGCATTGTTCTGATGAAGCTCCATTAAAGCAGAGTGAAACGTCGAACAGTAACATAGATAGATGCTTTTGTTTAACTGAGCAGTGACTCCTTGACGAGACTTCCAACGTTAAGAACGTCTTAACTTTGGAAATGTATTCTACTTTTTTTGTAAATACTTATATAAGTAGATGTAGTAGAACTAAAAATCACAATATATAATATATTTTAGTGACACGTAACTTTTATAAAAATTTTATTACATTGTGAAATTTTGATCTAAAATTTTAGCAGTTATATCATCATGTCAATTTTATGTATCTTTAATGTTAAAGAAAGCATTTCCAAGCTTGAGAAAGATGTTCTTATTTAAATTTAATTTAAAACAGTATTTCAAGATCTTTAAAAAGCAGATGTTTTTCTGAAATATGTATCACCTTTGCAAATTTGCTTACATAATAAGTTGTTGTAAAATATAAAATTAAAAACCGCCGAGAAAAACTCGGAATGATCTTGGCACTTTGCAAGGAAAGCGTTTTTCACAGGTTTCATCCGTGCATTCACAAGCAGTATTCAAATTAGCTTAAAATTTGCCTGCAGGCGACCGTCCTCACCTTATATTGCAGACCACTCGCAAAATAAAAAGAAACCCGAACCCGGAATTATTTATAAACATTCTGAAAAGTCACCGCCTAACGATAAATCAATTTTGGAGCAAATTTCTTTTCTTTATTGTATCGTACTTTGAACCGGGATACTTTTTATACCGAATGTCTTTGACCTGAGGAAATTTTTCGTCATGTTGATTTATGACCGCGACCATCAAAAAACAACTTGCTTATGTCGTGTCTGTCTGGCCGTCGGTGGTGGATGTTTTTGCCGCCGACAAAGCGGCCCTGAAACCACTTCTTTGTTGCTATTGCAAGAAACAAACTTAAATCAACACGCATTAAAATTTAATCCCCTATTGATCTCGTTTTTTACTATTTACACAGCGGAGCCTACGTACAGAAAAGTTCATTCTTCGGTTGCAATCAGGTAAGCAAGCGCTTCGAGCTTTCCACAGCTACAAAGCTCTCGAACATGTCAGTTCCGAAGCGCAAACGCTTCAATTTCTTCCCAACTTTAGTATGTGCCGGTCCCGATAACTGAAAGCAGCTCGGTGCTAGTTTTTCAGTATTTTCACGCTGAATTATTTCTGCAGATGACCTGTTGCATGTTAGTATTTTGTTCCATGGGGGATTTTGTTAGAGGCGGTCGAATTACAAGAGTTAACATGCAACGCTGAGGGCCAGCAGGAAAATACTTATCGATAACTGCTGTGAGAACATTCTGCGAATGTGAGTTGTTCTGGATTCGGACTTTACAAACATCAAATTATTGTGCTTTCATGTGAAAACTATTCATAAACTATTATAAATGGGGCTGATCAACCGGAAGGAGGAAGATCGGTTTATGTAAGTAAATTCTGCTGTTCGGTTTCATTTGGAGAGTCGTTTTAATAGTTGTCTAAGCAAAAACTGTTGTTATTTTTATACCGATTTATTAGTTTCATTTTCTTGATTGTAATACTAAAAAGTTTTAACAATTACAAATTGTACTAAATTATAAAATAAGGATTTTTGTAACAATAATGTTGTTAATTTAATGAAACCTTGAGTACGAAAACATCGATTTCCCATTTCCGTCTGTTTGTCTGTATCTGTCTGTCTGTCCGCCGACCGTCTTTTGTTAGACAGATAATCTCCGAAACTACAGGACCGATTGTTGTCAAATTTTATATGTGCATTATAAATAACATAGTCCTACACGTACAGTTTATGAATCTGTTTGATTTTTTTACCTGAGACATCCAAATTTTTGTTAAAAAAATCAAAATTGTATAATAACATTTTGCTATTTAATTTTGAAACTGCAATATTCTGAAATGTTGCAGACGTTTTAAAGTTATTGTAAGCATGGTAAATTTCAAAATATATGTGGGAATCTATTTTTAATATTCTAAGTAGAAGCTATGAAACTTCGTTAAATGGTTCCTATTACAATAATTCCCTATCTCGTAAACTAAAAACTGCAAATTTGTCACTATTATAACTAAACTCTAGATTCTAGAGTGGCACAATTAGTATGTAGTTTCACCACCCGTGTAAATTATGTAAATTTACCCACAGTCTGACATTGCGCATCATATATAGACAAGGATTTCCACTTAAACATAAACTTATTCAGAGAAGGTACCCTCAGGACGTATTAGTTAAGTCAAAGCGGCATTTCGCTGATATCCTTCTATTACCAGACAATTTAAATGTGCTTTCCAGAATCCGTAATCAAAAACAGGCCTGTGTAGCACATTTTATGCGAAAGAAGTCGGCACCTTTTTAATTGATTTGTTTGTTCTTGTATAAAAGAACCCACACTGTGTGAGGAATATGAAAGTTTTATAGCACGTTCTTAACTTCGTTTATCTCAGTTTTATATCTTTATGTTGTATTTTTATATGATTTGGTAAAGTTCGTAACGATATTAAAGTGCCAGACTTGTAAAAAATTGTCAGTTATTTTGTTAGGGGAAAAATAAATTTCTGGGGAAAATATTTTATTAAAAAATTCAATTTATCCACCATCTGCAACCAGGTAGAATACGGATCATTTTCAGTTCTTGTTTATGTCCTTTTGTGAAAAAATTTCGTTTAGTACTAATTTATTGCTGCTCGAGGCCACATTTGGTCGTAACAGTAATCCCGTGAAAATAAAAACTGCAGCAAAGAGCTCTAGTTCCCATCACAATTCTGCCTTGTCGAACGTTAACATGAAAGAAAAAAATGGTCCTGCAATAAAAAAATTCTTTGATGTAACAATGTACGTATAACAAGGAAGAATTATAAAGCTCCGAATTCTTTAACGAATACATATTGTGTTTTCTTAAAAAGGCCAGACTTTATCTTTTCGTGGAATTTTGTGATTAAAGAAGCACTTAAGCCCTAACATTTCAAAGAACAAAACATTTTTTATACAAAAGAAAAAATCCCTCAAGTGTATGCACACTCAGATTAGGGATAATTTGTGTGGATGAAGTCGGTATTAACAGAAGATTTAAGCAGAGTGGTGAATGATTTCGAATTTTATTTGACATTTCAACGTTTTCTTTGTTCTTTTTTCGGGAATAAATGAAACATTACCAGAGTGATGTTCGTGCATTTTGTACTGTGTAATGTTATGCATCCGACATACATGTTATATCAGAAACCTCACCTTGTCGGGTGTAATTAATTAATACTTGTGTACACTTTTGTGTTGTAGATTAAATAAAAATATAACCACGGCAACAAAACAACAAAGCAATAAAGTTGTTTCAACTCTTCCAAAATATTTACATATTTATACCCTCTGTATACATAATGTTAAAACAAAATTGCATGAAGTTATGGGTTAGTACGTAGTTAGTAATAAATGTGTTTTTGATTAAATTTGTCTGTATAGTATAAGTTATCCAACAATTTTCAATAAAACGGTTTTCACGATAAATTCATAATGGATGCATAGTTTAGAAGATAATAAAATTTAACGCAATAGAGTTGAAATTTTCACTTTCTTCGAGACGTTTGTTGTTAACTCAGTGGAATATTTTTATCTGATACTACAAGAAGGTCTAGGATTCTTCCTGAAATTTTCGTCAATCTCTGAATGTTGACTGAAAGTCTTCTTCAGATCGCGTCTATGTTCCTTATGACATGGTACAGTGACAAAGTTTATTTTAAACATTTAGTTTTTCTTGGGTACTGTTACTACACAAATCGTTATAACGAAAATTCCTGAGCAGATAGCATTTAGAAAATTATCTACTAGAGGTTTTGGCTTAAAATATTCAGTTGTTGTTCTGTGATTAAAAAAGTTCTTTATTTTTCAAATTACGATGGAACGTTACGTTGTTTCAATTTTCTTGGAATTTTTTGGCAATTGAAGGATTCTTAAAATTATTTTTTTTCAAAATCAGTGTTAAAACATTTCGTAGAGAGATAAAACATGTACACGCTCTGCTGTGGTATATATGAGATTAAATTTTCATATACAGAGTTTTTATAAAAATGTTTTAATTATTACAATTTTCAAATATTTCAGTTTTTTCAAATAGATTATTTTATTTTTTATTCTTTTTCTTTTTCGCTGAGTATATAATTAAAATTTATAGTTTTTAAGGGACACACACCCATATTAGAAGAATGGGGACAAAAATGGAGTAAGATACAATAATAAAATAGAGGGTGTTCCATTTGAAAAGCTATTTGAAAATTGTAGTGTTTTATTTTTTTATGAACACTCTGTATATTAAAATCTGATTTAGTTGGTACCACAACACACGTACCACGTATCTTTGTTTATTCTTCTACAAAATATTGTAAGACACATTTTAAAAACAAGCCTTTTAGATTTTTTGTGAAGCCTTCCATTACCAAAAAAAATTGTTGAAATTTATTTCGACAAAACTTCCCTCGCTCCTTAAATAAATCCTGCTTCTTTGAATAATTATAAAATTTGAAAAGTGTGAACGATAGAAAATATATTTAACGAAAAATTAACTCTTGGAGATATCACTTATACACAACACGCAGCAAATATTGCAGAAAATTTTTGTAAAATAATTGTGATTAAAAATTCGTAAACTACAAGTGTATTACTATCATAGCATGATTTTATCAAATTAAAAATATATTTATTGTTAAAAATTTTGAGAAAGTGGCATCAGGGTTTTGGTGGGGATGATTAGACAAATTTTGGTTAGCATTTAACCATCTACATGATATTCCTAATATACGAGGGCTGTCCGGCGGAAATTGAGCCTCGTGTAGAAGATGGGTGTTTGAAAAAAAAACTTCGACTGTATGTATACTAGGGTGATTCAAAAAAAAAAATATATTTTTTTTTTCGTGCAAAGAGGTTCAAAAGTTTCTTTTCAACGTAAAAAAATACCAGTTAAAATTTGAGCTCTTAATATTAATATTAAGACCGTCCGCATCGCGTTTTTCTATTTCCCATAAGAATAACATGGGAAAATTTTTGTTTGCACCTTCTGATTTTTATTGCTAGCCCGTCGTGTGTCGTGAAAAAAATTCAATCACATATTTTTATAGAGAATTGAACGCTCTACAAAAAGTGTCTCCTATGATTGTGCGAGAAACCTGATAGTTGAAGAGTTATTTTAGGCTAAAGTTAAATTTATCCAAATTTTGACGTTTTTGATGCATTACAATAAATTTGATGGTCTTATTGGAATAAATCACCACAAAAATTTATACACATTTTAAATTTAGTTTTTTAAACAGTAATTGTTTATAATTTTATGCTATAATAAGGCCAGTAAAACTCTTTCCGAACATTTTCAGCATCAGTGGGTTAAAAAATCATAGTCAGGTTTCTCGCAAAATCATAGGAGACACTTTTTGTAGAGCGTTCAATTCTTTATAAAAATATGTGATTGAATTTTTTTCACGACACACGACGGGCTAGCAATAAAAATCAGAAGGTGCAAACAAAAATTTTCCCATGTTATTCTTATGGGAAATAGAAAAACGCGATGCGGACGGTCTTAATATTAATATTAAGAGCTCAACTTTTAACTGGTATTTTTTTACGTTGAAAAGAAACTTTTGAACCTCTTTGACACGAAAAAAAAAATTATTTTTTTTTTTGAATCACCCTAATGTATACACATGATTTTATCAAATTAAAAATATATTTATTGTTAAAAATTTTGAGAAAGTGGAATCAGGGTTTTGGTGGGGATGATTAGACAAATTTTGGTTAGCATTTAACCATCTACATGATATTCCTAATATACGTATATACAAAATTTGACAACAATCGGTTCGGCAGTTTCGGAGATTACGTGTCTAATAAAACTGGATACAGGCACTAGACAGACAGACAGACAGACAGACAGACAGACAGACAGATAGACAGACAGACGAAACGGGAGACTACTTGAGAAAATTGGAATAACGTGGCAAAGTAAACTGTGGTTGTAATGGCCAATCAAAATATGTTAAGATATACAGGGTGTTTCATTAAAAAACTAAGTTGTGTGTTACGCCATAGAAATAGAACACTCTGTATTATAGTTAAAAGTAATTGTACAGATATCGAGAACCGCGCGCTTAGTAATTTACCCTGTAGACAAATAATCTCCGAAACTACTGTACGGATTGTTGTCAAATTTTATAGATATTTTAGGAATGTTGTGTAGATGGTAAAAGGCTAATTAAATTTTGTCTGGCCATCACTACCGACAATCTGATGATCTTATATCCACATTTTGCCTGGTAAATGCTATATAATTTCTATATATAAACTCTTGTTCAAAATTATCATACTACTACGGAAATCCGTCAACAATCTGAATTGTTGTAACTATTATTCAACAGCAATTGTTGGAGAGAGTGCAGTGAATTCGTTTGTTGGAA